AGCGCTCGATCAGTAGGTCGAGCAGTGTTTGCGGCGAACAGAATGAACGATATGTCGTGAGAAATGTGCGGACAAACATGGGGTCGGCGTACATGTGATACGTGAGCCTTTCCACCAGTTTCAATAGCGTTGCACCTGTTGTCGCAAATCAATACAAAATCATATGATATATCAAATGCTTTTCATTAAATAAGAAGCCATACATACTGTAAGAATAGAGAATATTCTCATTCATATTCTCACATAACAATCAATGAGTGATATAAATAGACATTTTCTAATCAATACTTAGTGGAATGCTTTCGAAAACAGGCAAATAATGATAAAAACAGTTTCATTGAATGCGAATAAAAGTTGGAGAAAAACAAAAATAACTCAAGACTAAAAAATCAATTGAAAACAAAAATAACTTTTGACTTAAATCCCAAACAGAACAGCCTTTTAAGAAATTGAAGAAAACATTTTGACATTAAATATACTGTAAGTATAATAAAACATCTATTAAACTGAATGTCTGAATGAAAAATGAGAACAAAATTCAAATCAAATCTAATGTCAAAAGAGACTTCAAATTTCAAGTATTCATTAAAAAACAACTTTTTTCTATTGAAATTACTTCTACGGAGTATTAACTCATTTGAATGAGTATTAAATGAGACTTTAATGAGAAATATTTGCATACCTTTAATGAGCGGAACGTTTGAATTGGATTTGTTTTCTTCGAATATGATATTAGAGTCCGAGTCCTCCACAGCGAACCGGTAGACATCGGGTGAGGGCAGCCGTAAGGGATGCTTCTTCGCCTCGTCGATCAGCATCGAGTCCAGCGTCCTCTCCAGCATAGACCGCGTGTTCAGTAGTATTAGGTTTGACATCCAAAGGGCCTTCTCTTCCAGCGTTTTAGCAAACAATACAATTTTGGGCTGATTTCTGATGGGAAAGGGGTGACCGGCAAGAGATGCCATTAATTAAAACCATACATTGAACTAAATATTAAAACCATATTATCCTAACTATAAATTAGTACAATATTTGTTAGATTCTATATTCATAGCATATCTAATAATATAAGTCTCTCTACATATAGCTAAATATAATCAATTATTAAATAAAATGCCATAAAAACAAATAACTTATTTGAAATAAATAACACATACCTGGGCACGATTTCAAACGCGTATTTAGGCATATGATGAGTACCGGTGCCCCCACCGCCGCCATTATTATTATAGAAATTAGTTCCGTTAATCTCCGTGTCGTTGGAGTAGTCTTCGCGGTCAATGATCTCTATATTTCTGATTAAGTATTTCTCTTTGAGTCTCCAATCGCACTGCGGGTTCCGCCGCCATTATTATTATAGAAATTAGTTCCGTTAATCTCCGTGTCGTTGGAGTAGTCTTCGCGGTCAATGATCTCTATATTTCTGATTAAGTATTTCTCTTTGAGTCTCCAATCGCACTGCGGGTTTCCGGTGACGGCCACAGTCATCGACGACCTCTTGTTATTGGGTTTACACAACACCATTAGGCCGTCGAATAGGAACACGTGCCGCTCGGTTAGGCGTCCGGATCGGGTGCCGGTGCCCGACAGCTTCCCTAAGGGGCCGTCCATCACGAACTCGTTGCAGAACTGGCCGATGTCTTTGCCTTCCCAGCCGTCGATAGAGCGCTGAAGTTCCGACATTTTGGTCAACGCCTGGGCTCTGTTGGTGCGGCCATACAGTCGCAGATAGCCCTCACCTGTAGGACACAGACAATGCAAAAACCATTTCAGATATCATTCAATAAGACATGGCATTTGGTTTTCAACGATAAAAACTATAGTTTTCTCATAAATTCGTCAAAAAAGCAATTGATTGGTCACTAAATAAAAAATAAATATCATTGGCAAACATATTGAATAACAAGTGGACAGACATTCCATCAGTTTTCCCAATGGATTTATTGTCATAGAGACCGATGACATACTAACTAAATATCACGAAAATTGTGTTTGCTTAATAATCAATAAATTATATAAAAATAAATCACAAATGCATTTAAGAAAACCTAAGAAAACTACTGTTCAATGAATAAACACAATAAAAGGCTTTAAAGCAAACATTTATTATTTAATAGGGCATAAAGAATATGAAATGAAATATGCATTAAAACTACATTAACTATAGGACTGGGATGTGATGTGTGGGCGGGAAGAGTAGACACAGAATAATGCAACAAATCTTCCATTAAAAATATTTCAACAAAAAAAGCAAAAATCATAAAAAAACCAGACATTTCAATAAAATTACAAAAAATCATAACAAAAACTCAAAAAAGATTCAAATGTATTAAAAATAAGAGAAATTGAATCAAAACTAATAGAAACATCTGTTCCGACTAATAGGACGGAGAGGCCAGTCGTATAAAGAGCTAATACATGGGAGACCAGTGAATACACGTAAAGAATAACGAAAATTCATAATTACTTTTGACAAACGATAGATAATTTTTAATATTAAATTTGAATTTATTTTTGCGCTTATATTTATTCTTAGACAATACATTAGAAGCCATTTGTTTGGTACGGCACCAGTAGCTCTCCAACATAGGTTTGATTGAAACACACATAAAAAGAGCACAAGAATACTGTGAGAGAGAGTGAGAGGGGAGACTCTGAGGTATGTGTTGGAGAGTTGGAGACCAACTCTATACGAGAAACGAGTCGATCGATACCGACGCCGAATGGCGAGTAATACTACGGCTTCGCGTCTAACTATATGAGAGACTTATATATCATATACGGCTTTATATGTGAAACTCGACTCCAATTGCATCACAAC